GTGTTAGAGCCTTGGAATCCACCACTAGTTTTCCTATCCAAGTTATGAATGCATAGAAATTGACTCAAGCTTCATCAACAATAGATTATCGCATACAAGCCTATGGTATCTAGGTGCAGGATGCATGATTCTCCTAAGGCATGTGATTATGCATGGTATCTACACAACACGTGATCTCTAATATGCAACCTAAGCATGGTATCTACTTAGAATAAAACATATAAGAGTCATCAAGCTCCTTAAGAATAAGATAATCACACAAGTCCTAGAACATGGTATCTGTCCTATTCAACTTATAGTTATTAACCCCTTGACCCATTGAATGATTCTTAGGCCATTCATGTGTTGCTTGTGAAAGGAGAGTAGAATTGGTGAATCTAAAACCCTTCCCAACCTCTGCTAGATGCATAAAATCCTAGTTAGCTACTCTAAGAAAACATACATCAAGCACATAATAAACTGGAGATTAACAACTTGATAATGAAAGCGAGGAAATCAATTAACTATAAAATCATCCATAACATTGAATATTCATAACTAGGGCTTCATCCTAAGCCCTAACTAAATGGATTAGTTAAACATAACTATGAATACAGAAAATAAGAAATACATAGGTAGGATAGAAGAGAAGAGAAGAACTAGTTGGTAGCAATGTAGTTCCCAGGATAGCTCAAAGCTCTCTTCTCTCTTTGCGGTGAATTTGAATGTGTGTATGAGAGTAATGGATGAAGTGAAAATGTGTATCTGACTCCCTATTGAATGAGTGTGCAGCTCTCTATTTATAGAGTGCAATTTTGTCCTCCCCTTTGGTTGGTGAAGCACACCTCCCTTAGCTACTCCCAACTACTCTAGCTGACATACTTGCCAACTGCTCCAGCTGCCAAATACATGCTTTGGTATGGTTTTTTTATGGAAAGCTTGACTTTTGTTCATCTTTCTGAGTTCCTGAGCTGATTTGACTCCCATGTGTGGCTGCCCATGTGTAGCATATGGCTCTAGGGATGTAGCCACATTAAATGTGATGGCAGCCAATATGACATTTCTGTGAACTTGGTTCAGTATTTGACGTGCTGAGCACTTCAGATTTATCCAATTGGGCTGCAATTTTGATATGTTATAATAGACACCCATTGGAACAACTTCTATCAAGGATGTCTCTTAATCCGACCTGTGTAAGTTGCTGAAATGAGGCCTGCAAGATGACCTACTAAACTGGACTGACAAGGAGTGTAGCTCAAATTGGTTTTGTCTTTAAGCTCATATTCCTCTTGTGCCACTCAGTCCTTAACATGCATGAATTGTATCAAATGTCATCCCCATACTGTCTTAACCTACAAAACACACAAACATAGGTAAGAGACTCAAAATAAAGAGAAACTAAGTAAAATTACTAAGCAAAGAAGGCATGCAAATGTGTGAAATTATGACCTTATCACTTATGAATTTAACAACCCATAGGGGGAGTTGTATGTGAAGTGCTGGTTTTTATGGTTTAAACTTGTTATTTCATATGAGTATAATGTATGACTATTATTTGGATAATGTATTTGTTATTTGGATTATGTTATATGTGTGTGAGCAAATTTCCTCACAAGAATATTCGGTTGCAAAGATTCCTCTTCCTTCTCCGCCTCGTCTTTCTCCCTGCAAAATAGAACAAATGAGAGGGCCACACCCAGGGGGTGTTGGCCAAAGGCCCTCCGATGCCTAAATTAGTTCAATTGAATCGTATAAAAAACAATAGCTAACTAGGATATGGAGATGTGTTTAGGGTGTAAACCGGGCGGCCAAAGCCTTATGTAAAAGAGAGAGAGAAAGGAGGTGGCTAGGGTTTGAGAGGAATTTTCTGCAGAGTTTCAGTAGGGATTTCAGACGTACCTTGACCCTTGTGTGTGGCCATCCTTTTATAGTGGTCTTGGAGGCTAGGGTTTCAGAGGAATAATTTCGTAGATAGAAGGGAATTATTCCTCCCCTATTTGGAATTGATTTGATTAATTAGGGTAAATCAAATCCCTAATTGTGGTAGGTATCAAATCAAATCTTAATTTAATTAGGTAACTCCTCATTTAATTGAGAATTATGGTAGGAATCAAATCACTTCTCAACCTAATTAGGTAACGTTCCATTTAATTGGGTAATCCCCAATTAAATTGAGTAACTCCCAATTAGGTTGACTAATTCCCAATTAGGTTGACTAATTCCCAATTAGGTCAAATAATCCCCAAATGGAAGGAATTATTTGACCTAGGGTCTGATTTAATTTGGTTCCCACAATATGGAAGTGATGATGAGCATAAATATAAATTGAAACGACCTGACCCAATTTCCACTTTGGAATCCAGGTCGAAACCTGTTTAAAACTGACACCTGGTAAACGTGGGTCGTAAATGACTAAAATGTCCTGAAAACAGTAACACAACTGAGGGACTCTGATTCGTGGCTGCACCTGATAACTGTAGGCTGCCTACGTACCCTTTCTGAGGGATCAAGTCACACGTAGTTCTTTCCTCTGTTCCGGACCTGTAACTGGTTTGTTTTACTATAAACCTCACTCTAGGGCTGACATTTCTGGAGTATCCGGGACTCCGTTTTACGATTTGTCAAATACTATACGATCCTGGGAAAGTCTAGATTAACATACTTGGAATTAACTACGATCCAACGGTTCAAACGTATTGAACCCGGAAATCGCACAGTAGGCGAGATCCGTTCGGGGTTCAAACGATATCCGAATTAAGATCCGCAAAATCCCACGTGCTCGTGAGGACTAGGAGATCATTCTAGGACTGACTGTGGTCTCCACCCTACTGCTCACGTGCCGCCCACGCGCCGGCAGCGCGTGGTGCCTAAAGCGATAACGCTTCGCCGGAAAATCTCAACATCTCGGCTCAAGACTCCTATCCTAGGTAAAACACCCTATTTGGAGCCACTTTTTTTCTTGGACCTACCCCAAAAACTGGCCGGAAGTGGCCGGAATCTCAACCCGAAATTCGGCTAAATTTTGGATCCAAGATCGAGTTATCTACGCTAGAAATTTCTGAAATCCTACCCAACCAGCAGCTAGGGCTCAATAGAGTCATTAAGCTCCTTCAGAATAAGTCATTAAGGAGTTACGATCAAAAGAGCCCTAGCTGCTGGTTTCTTTTGATCGTAACTCCTTCGTTACAATTCCGATTTGAGTCTACTACATGTCTACGAACTCGTTTCGTCGCGCTCTACGCAACGGTACAACTAAAATCCCCAAATTCCTTCCCGATCAAAAAGTCAACTTTTAAACTAATAAAATATTCTAGGTGTATTTTTGTCTTTTTCTCAAATAAATTAATAATTAAATATTAATTTTGGGTTTGGGTTATTACATAAATTGTAGGTTATTTGAAACTATGAACATTCTAAATGATGGAGAGGAGGAGGACGAGCTTGTGCTCGTGCTATTGAATTATATTATGTGAAATATGTTCATAAATCCCCTTGTATGAATTCCTCCCAAATAGGTAATATCTGGTTGATGGAAGTTTTACAAGGGAATGATAGTTGGTGTCATAGAATGTTTACGATGGATAAAGATGTATTTTCCATATTATGTTATGACTTGCAATCTAATTATGGCTTGAAGGGATCAAGGAGAATGAGTGCTTTTGATATATTGGGAATGTTCTTGCACATGCTAGGACATGGTATAGGAAATAGGTTATCACAAGAAAGATTCCAACATTCTGGTGAGACAATGAGTAGATATTTTGGTCTTATGTTGGATATTGTATGTCGTATGACAACAGATGTCATCAAACCAATTGATCCCGAGTTTAGTGACACCCCACAAGAAATACTGTCAGACTCTAAATATATGCCTCACTTTAAGGTAATGATCAAATCTGAAAGTTTTTTTTTTTTTTTTTGGTGTTAAGTATTATTATACATATTCAAACTTCTTGTTATTTAATTTTAGTGTCTTCATTCATGTTTTAATCACTCACTTTACGCAATTATATCATAATAAAATAAATCTTTGAATTGACAGGGAAGTATTATGTAGTAGATGCGGGGTACCCACAAATGTGAGAGTTTTTGGGACCATATAAAGGCGAAAGATATCATCATCTTCCTGATTTTCGTAGAGGTGGCCAACCAATGGGCCCTAAAGAGGTATTCAACCATGCACACTCTTCTCTTAGAACTATCATCGAACGAACTTAAGGGATATATATATTCGTAATTATCCATTCAACAAGCAAGTAAAGAGTCATTGCAACAATGGCGCTTCATAATTATACAAGAAGGCAAGCTCAACGTGATAACCATTTTGATAACCCAAGTAACATTTTAAGTGAAGAAATTGATAGGGATGTTGATGTACAACAACATAGCCATACAACTTATGATCAAGGAGGACAAAAGATGGAAGCTTTGAGAAATAGTATCACTGCAAGTTTAATGCACACATGTAGTTAGACATTTGTTTATATCTAGTGCATTTGGAATTTATATTTTGTTGATGGTGTTCTAGGTATCTATAAAAAAATTGTTGTATTTAAGTACCTTATGACAGTTTGAACTAACTTTGTCATCTAGACAAAAAAAAAAAACACAAAAAAAAAAGAAAGATATACAAATCTGTAAAAAGAGAGATCTTGGATGTATTGGAAAGAGAGGAAGCACGGTCTTGGTCTTGGTCTTGGAAGAGAGAGCCTTTATTTATTTATTTATTTTTATTATTATTATTTTTTTCTATTCCCTCTGTGGCCAGCTTATTCTAATTTTTTATTTTAGATTTGGGCCAATACAGTATACATATATATAATTTGGAGCCCCTTTAATTGGAGGCCCATGGCCATCGCACTCTGTGAGCATCCTCAGGGCCGGCCCTGCTCTTAGAGCATCTCCACCCACAAGGGCTAAGTCTAGGGCAAGGGCAAGCAAGGGCTGCCCCTCTTTACGTGAATAATGTCCGCCCTTGCACTTTTTTGGAAATGAGTTTTCTCAATTTGTAATGTTTCTCACTATTAAGAGTACTTCCACCCACAAGGGCTAAGTCTAAAGCAAGGGCAAGCAAGGGCTGCCACTTTTCACGTGAATAGTGTCAGCCTTTGCATTTGTGGTTCCACCCATGAGGGCAAAGTCTAGGGCAAGTCTAAGGTAATTACTATTCATTGTACTTTATTTCCTATTTTTTTATACTTTAAACCATTAATTTTGATAAGCTTTTTAGATTATATTTTCGGTTGTCACGTATCACTATTTATATTTTGGATGAAGATTTGGTGTGGAAAGTGAATAAAATTGTTAGGTATTTATAGGGAAAAAATCCAGAATTTTTTGGTATTTTTTTAAAAAAAATTTGAATTTTTTTGCAATTTTTTATGCCATTTGTTTTTTTTATACAAATAGAAAGTAGTAGAAAAATGTGAGGGAAAAAATAAAATGGTTATGTATTTATAGGGAAAAAATACAGAATTTTTTGGTATTTTTTTTTAAAAAAATTCAGATTTTTTTCGATTTTTTTTGCAATTTTTTTAGCCAAAAAAACGAGGACTGTCGGATTGTTGGAAAAAAAAAGGATCGAAGAGTCAGGGTTGCGACACGTGGCACATTACCGTGCGATGATGTCACTCTGACGTCATCGAACTCGGGCTGAAGCCCAGTGGAAACTTGCCCTTGGGCTTGCCCGGGCTGGTGGGACCCAGGGCTTGCCCGGGCTGGAAGTGCAGCGCTGGAGCTGTTTTGGGCTATCTGGGGGGGCCTTTTGCCCGACTCTGTGCCTGCGGTGGAGGTGCTCTTAAGAATTCAAGTGCTAAATGGGCCGAAAAAATAATCGGGGAAGTTCAATTAGCTTATTTCCCACCAGGGGACGGCTGAAAATCCTTGAAAAAAGTGTTTGATAAGTGTACAAAAAGCATAATAGTGCGATTGATGATGTGCTATCTAGTAGAAAGTCTAATAATTCTACCCAACAAATGTTTTATGGGTGGCCCAACTTCTCAAGAAGTTCTGAGAAAATGACATATGCAGCTCCTCCCGCTACAAGTGAAAGAGTGAGCCTTCCTCCTGGAACTAACTGTGGCAATGGCAATTTCATAGCTGGAGATGAACTTGAGTACCTATCCGACCAAGACATTGCAGGAGGAAGAATTCCAAACAGCACCAACACTAACAAAAACACGAAATCAAACTTCATTCAAAATGAGTAGAAGTAATGGTTATATGCATCCAAAAGTACAAATACAAAAATAAAATAAAAACACTAAACTGGAAAGCTACACCACAGAATACCTCCATAAGTTCCAGCAAAGTCCAAGGCTTTGAAGAATATTTCTGGGTCTAGCAAAGACAGCACAATCGGTGGAACCAACGTCATTGCGTATGGCAGAGATCGGCTCTGACCAGCCGGAAGTTTCAGCACTGAGTATTTGGAAATTGACATTGGATGTTAGATAAGCATACCTCTCTGTACAATTAGATAAGCACAGTGGCTTAAGTATATAAGCATGCATAAACATATTTACAGTGGCTTAAGGAGAAAAAGCCCATTCTCAAAAGGATTTATGATAGAAGCAGGTAAAAATGCACAATAGGGAAAGGAAGAAAAAAAAAGGCTGAATTACATTTTTGTTCCACTTTGGTCCCAGCCATTTCAATTTTGTCAATTTTAGTTGTTTAATTTTCTTTAACTTACAATCAAGTCCAAATAAAAAATGTGATTTAGCTAAAACGAAAAAAAAGAAAGAGAAAGAAGCTACATAAGGCCTGGACGGCCAGGGGTTTTGAACTCTTAATAAGAAGCTATGAAGAGAGGAAAAAGAAAAGCGCTCTTGTTTATTTTCATTTCAATCAATTTTTTTTTTCATAGAAATGAAATTTATTGAAAGAAAAAGAAGAGGAACACACAAGTGGATAAGAAATCCACAAGCCAAATGAGCAACAACAGAAAAACAGACTTAAAAAACAAAGACACCAGCCAAACTACACAAAGGACTGCTACACCAGAAAGACCCAAAGAAACCAAGTCGCAAAACAAACACTTCACATCACAGCAGCAGCCATATCCCTCAATATAGTGGAGTAAGAATAGTCTTTGAAATCTGAAGTGACAGAAGCCCAGTCTTTGATCGTACATGTTCTACTAATTAAATACACATTCATATTGAAAAAAGATGATTCACTAGGTGGAAGAGAAAAATGCACTCACAGTCAGAAAGGAAGTCAGAGAGACCCAAAACAAATCCGATGTACGACGTTGCAATAGCAAAAAGTGAGAACACCTCAACAATAGGCTGAAAAAAAAATCAAAACAAAGTAAAAGAAAGGGAAAATAGAACTTTATTGCTTCACATATTATCTGTTACTTCAAAGAAAGTCAAGAACGACTCTTGTGATAAACCTACTCCAACAACTTCGTTCGTAGATCGCAATTGTTGTAATGGATCCATGATCTTATCTGAGCTCATTTCAACAGTTGTGATGGTTCCTAGAATCACGGCGTTCCAGACTAGAAATAAAACAAGTGGTATACTGGTGCCTAAAACAATTGCAGTCCTGAAAATAACAAGTTGATTACATACACAACATACAATATCAATAATGCATGACAAAATACTAAAACAAACCTATCAGACAAAATGATTATACGAGTAACGAAACCAAATGTCTAAATCAAGGCACATATTTATACAATCTCTAATTATAAATTACTTTTAGGGTGCCATAGGCCTGACAGTTCTTAAGGACCATTTATAAAATCAACCAGGTACAAAGTCAGCTTTGACCTTGGACTAATATAGACAAAGACTTATAAGCTACAACAATGATGTAGCAGGTCCTCTTTTTGAAAATATATCACGCAAGTTAATTGGAATCTAAAGTTTGAAGCACAAATGTGACATCCATATAGGCATAAAACATTTCTGTGTGGAATCTGTTGGACAACTACAAGGGATTGAAGAAGTCCATGCTCATGCGAGCAGCTGAACATTTCCAGAAAGCATTGGCTTGCAACTGAAATTCTTTTCCTTTTGACATATGGCACAATCCAAGGCACTCTGCTTGCGCTAAGGGGAGCAGTCTTATCTTAAGATTAGGTCGAATGAATGTGAACGAGATTTGAATATTCTATGAGCTCGGTCCACTTAATCATCATTTCGTGTTTTATCACATTCACTTATTTACAAAGTTATCGTGGATTCAATGTTTCATAATCCTTCACATCAAAACCATGTCACTATTTGAACACAACCTAATTAACCTTTCACTAAAGCTGAATTTCAAACTAAAAGGAAGAGATGGCTAGAAACCAAGTTCATTCTTCCGTATAAGTCACGAACAACTATATTAATGAGATAAATGAATGCAATATATGACTGTATGCATAATACATATTAGTATGTAGTATACGTATCAATTTATGTTTGAACAAAATTTATGAGCACTACCTATGTCACAAACTTCTATATAATAGAATACTACTTATTGAAAAATTCAATTCACAGAATGAAAACTTCACGTTCACCAGGTATTATTTGATTGCTGTTGTACTTCAAAAATATCAAATACATTGACATGGCATAAATATTATATAGGTGGTTTGTTGGTCATTTTAAATGTTAACGTTTTGATAGCCTTGTAATCAGACTTGATCATGTCTATACAGTCTTCAACCTCAGCATCAAGAAAAAGTGTTATAGTTTACCATCTTACTCTTTGAGCAGGCTAGAGGCTTAAGCCCATTTCATTGGAAAGAAGTTTCTCAGGGCCTTCCGGTGTTCATCTCTAATCTTTGTTTTATTATGGATTAGGGGGATAAAATTTGTTTATGGAAGGATGTGTGTTGGGAATTCTCCACTAAGTATCTCTTTCCCCACCTATATAGGATATCAATGTCTCTTCACGTGTCTTGGTAGTTTGTGTGATTTCCAGTCATCGTCTGCAGGTGGAATTTTAATTTCAGGAGAAATCTGAAAGACCAAGATGTGGGGGAGTTTTCCAATCTCTCTCATTGATTTACCCTCTCTTTTTCACCTATACTTGACAGAAGAATTTCTATTCTTGTAACCCTTTAACTGAGGATCACTGTCTCTATTTTCAGTCCATCTGTCCTACAGGACCAAGGTGCATCCCAAGGTCCAATTTTTGGCTTGGGTTGTTTCCCATGGAAGGGTTGACACCTTTGAGGTTCTTCAATGTTAAGGGTATACTTTATCTCTCCCCACATTGGTGTATATTGTGCAAAAGCGGCAGAAAGCAATCACCATATTTTCTTATTGCTCAATAGCTTTAAGTTTGCGGTACAATCTTCTTCAGGTTGCTAGGTTAAATTGAATGTTAAGTCTTTGTTTGCTGAGAGATTTTGTGCTTTTGGTGGTGGAGAGAAGGCTAAGGTTTTGTGGAGATGCAGTGTACTGTAAATGTTTTTGTGTTTTGGATGGAAAGGAACAGAGTTTAAGACAAGCTAGGGAAGACAATGAACAAGCTTAGGGATCATTCAGATTATGGGCCTGTCTTTGACTTCAGTTTCCTCTGTGTTCTGAGACTGACCTTTTTTATATATATATATATGGATTAGGAAGCAGCTGTTTCACCTTACTTGTATGCATGCATTTTTGGTACCTGGATTTTTTTTTAGGCTGAGGGTAGTGTTGTTTATGGACTTTGATTGTAACTCTACATTAGTATTAATTCATACAAAAATCAAATTATCACCTTACTTTTGACAGGTCTCCTTCAAGATTCGTACAAAGAACAGGCACAACATTCTGGAGAAGGTATATTCAAAATGTTAAAGAGTTGCTTTAATATTGAATGACTATATAAGTTGGTGATGTTACCTGGTAAACAAACGACAGAACAATTATGGGTATACTCATGGGAACAGCTTGAAAGTTGGCTTTCAAAAGAACATCCCATTGTAGGTATCCGCTCGCAACGGCCTAAGAAAGAAAGCAATGTTTATTTATTGTTGCATGCCCAATATTGATGCATAGAACATCATTTAAGCAACTCCCACCACTTAAAACATCATTTTGTCAGTTCTATTTGATGCATAAAAAATACTGCACGCTTGTGTACGCAACACAGTATGCAGAAAAATAGAATTGTGCATGACAATGCATATGAGACAAAGAAAATTTTCCAATAACAAGATGTTAGGATCACAATGAAATGGTTTTGACTTTCCTGCTTCTTTTGATGCCAGACCGGTTCTAAATCATAATTCAAAATGTATATAAAGCCTATCAGAAAATAAATTGACAGAGGAATACATATTTACAATATGGCTCACCAAAATGAAACAAGTCTGGTTTATTACTCTCCATAATAAGTTACAAATAAAAGCAGTCTTGTTTCACCAAAAATAGAAAAATAAAAGCAGTCTTTTTGTTTAACTTTCCGAAATTCTTTTGCATCTCTTCCATAATATCTATGTATCACAGTTCACAAAAATTAATAGGATCTTTCAAGGGAAATATTCTAATGACAACTGTGCAGACATAATTTTGGTCAAAATTGGACTGGAGCAGAGAATCTGTACTCTGGAGCAATAACACTTAAAATCATGCAAGTCCTGAAAAGAGAGAGAGAGAGAGAGAGAGAGAGAGACTTACTACTAGAGCAGCAAAAGATATGATAATTCCAAATACCAGAACCCCATTAACCGCACCAACAAAGCGTTGACTACATGTGAAGATAAGTTTACAGTCAAACTCAAATCTCAACTGGGGAGAGAGAAAGAGAGAGAGAGAGAGAGAGAGGAGCCACAAAAATTCATCATATTTCAGTTCTCTTTGGAACCTTAGCATGCCACTGTTGTTAGCTTGTTATACATATGGCCTCTAATTTCCATTCCATACGTATCTGAAAGGTTACAAAATGCAAGGTGTGGCTGATATTTTTCCCTTGAATTGTCTGTCTGTCTCTCCATGTGTAGGATAAGGCTCCACATAAGGGAGGGGATTAGCTATCAATACAAAAGTATCGGCTCATTCCCTAACAGCTTAAGCTTTTGGAAACCAACGGTTGTCTAATAAATGTAGGTAATACATTCTCAAATTTCCTCTGGTAACAAATTTCCAGTTTGAAATTGGCTTTCATTCTGTTAGATGGTAAAGTCTTATACCATGTGAGAAAAAGTTCAAGGTACTGCAAGGATGGCACAGACACGCAATATATTTCATAGGCACACACTGTTGCTCATTCATGCACATGATCAGTCTCCCATACACACACAAACACACATTTAAAATTATCCAGTACAATGACATCATAACCTTGATCAGGCATGTAGCATAACTTCCTATTTAGCTAATGATCAGCATTCTCGACTAGCAGTCATCTTAATAGAAAGACCGAGTGATGCAGGACGCATAGGACCTAAATTTATTAGCTTCCTAATGTATTTGTTAGTTTCCTAGATTCTCCAGTTTTCCCAATTCTAGTAGGATTTCTACTTTTCCAGATTTCCAGATTTCTAGTTTTAAGTTTCCTATTTTATTTGGGTTAGGATTTCTGTTTAAGCAAGGGATTTTTATCCTATTATGTCTAGGTTTTAGATTTCTATAAATAACCCCATGTAATTCTTTAAAATTCAGATTTGAATGTTGAGTAAACCTTTTCCTAGAACTCTCTGATTTCGTCCCTTCGATCTATATTTCTTCTCCTCGATCTCCGATATTCTTCTTTGTTCTACTGTTTCTGTCCTTTATCTCATCTTTTCGATCTCTATTTCTTCTCCTCGGTCTCTTATATTCTTCTCTGTTCTATTGTTTAAGTGCTTAATCTAACACCTACGGGCTGTACTACATCACCGAGACCCACGGTTAACTCGGCATATAGTCTACTAACAGTACATGATTGCCGTATTATTACTAGAACAAGATTGGTTTACTTTAATATACTTAGTTTACAAAAACGATAAGCTAAGTGTAAAGATGAACCTTCCAAAGTAGCATATGCCTCCCAACAGCAATGAAAATATTGTTGCACTTTCCCATCTGCAACCATAATGCTGCCATCAATACCTAACAAATGTAGAAGTATAATTCGAATATAAAATGGACAATTGTTACCCATAAAATTGAGATGTGAAACAGCAAAAAGTTGGTGCAACAATTGGGCCCATTGGAAATGCTACAGATTGGTCCTTACAAGGGAATTCCGAGAAAATTTGTCATAATTTCTGAAGAACGAGCTACATAGGCAACAAGAAGTGCATAGTGTATAAAAATGTATGACCAACTGCAGGATAATGAAAGTTGCTATCAGAAACTGATTAAGAAAATCACACATAAAATTGTACTATAATGAATATTGAATAAACTATCTAAAACATTTAAAAGAAGCACAGTGGATAATTTATTTTCTAGTTAAAATAAGGCAGAATGATTTTCCCCTTTGATTGAATGGTATCTAAACTGACTACAAGGTTACAAATAAGGAAGGTACAAAAGTCAACTATACTAAATGCAATTAATATACAGCTAATTAATTAATTAGCCTATTCTAGTCTTCATGCCAACATTGGGTTTTGTGTAACTTTCGAATCTCATAATTCCACATTTCTTATCAAGTACCTAAATTTGGCTGACGAAAAGATGAACCTTAAATGGATCCAAAATACAATTCACAATCTGTCCAGCTTTAGTTGTAATGTTTGCATTAGAGTTTTCTTTGTGAAATTTAGCATTCATGTTAGCATCTGATAAAAATAAATGTAGGTAAAAAAAGAGACCCACCATGGTTTCTAAATAGAGTTAGATATCTCTTGTTGTTAAAGGACATTTCTGAGTGACTCTCACTCACCATTGCTATTTTATCCCATCTAGTTTCTTGAATTCCATATTTCAATTGTTTTTCTTTCTCCTAATCACGGCACATGCCATATTGATTCCCTTTCCACCAGAAATCTCCACAACCAATTACTCATCCTTCGTCCACTTTCGACCAAATTACCTTTCCTCCCCTATTACCAGCCCATAGAAAACCCCTCATAAGGTGCTCCACTTTCCTAGAAATTCCTTTCAGAACTTGAATGCTTTCCAGTATTGGTTCTAATAAATCAAGTTGGTCTCCTCCGGAAAGGGATACCTTCATTCCAACTTTAAAATCTTTCTTTATCCTTTTCCACCACCACATTCCAAACAATTTCAGCTCTAGGATTGCCACCCAAATAGAAAGCACCTCCCTTTCTCTCAACTTGTGCAATTAGTTTTGCAATGGGCGTGGGCTTATCAATCAACCCAAGTACACAAGATGAGGAACAAAAAAAACTGAAGATGAAATCCATTTCTATGTTGAAACGATCAAGTGACTCCAAAAATATCCTTGATCTTCTCCCTCACAATCGAATCCACGGCTTACTGTGGTCTTCTTCTGACAGCAATCCCATAAAGCCCACATTCATGCTGCTTCCCCTGGCTTCTTCTACAACACCAGTGTGCATAAAGCAGATTCCAGTTGTTGGTTCCAATATCTGGATTTCATATTTTAAATGACTCACCAAAAGAGGACAGAAACTTCAAAGGATATCGACCAAAACGACCTCTCTCAATAATATGTTGGTGAAACAAGTTGCCTCACCAACACCTAAATTATGTCAGCAACATAGAAGAAGGCTATACCGTCAGAACCAAATTTAGATAGATTGCATTTGAAAGCAAAGAAGGTAACACTGATTTAAAATAAAATTTTAAAAAGGCTAATGCACTATCTTCATTGTTTAAAAAAATAATAATAATAAAAATAATAATTCCAAAGTATTCAGGCCAAAATGAAAAAATCCAAAGTAATGCATTTTGCAGTCAACAATAAGCTGTATAAATACTTTATAATCTACAAGATTAAAAAGTAACCTTACCACACAATTTGAACTCCCACACTCCCTACAGTCCTCATGGCCATTGATACCTGAAATGGGTCACCAGACAAACGGACAATGTTACAATTTATATGTTATGGATGCATTCGACAGCCTAAAACTTTTTCTTGGAAAAACACAATTGATATAAATATAAATATTTTATGTTGTTACATGTGGTTTGCTTCAGAAAAGGAGACCTAACTGTTTTTTCTTCCTCCTAGTTGGTGTCTGAAGTGTTTAGTGCATGTAGGAAAAGAAAGACAGAAAATATAATCCAACTTTTAAATCTGCAATGCAACTACGGACAATACTTGTGTAAAAAAGACTAAGAAATTAAGTACCAGTGATACACCACCAGAACCAAGTTGGCACATAGTGTTTATATTTACTTCGGCTATTAGCAGCCCCGTTACAACCTGCCATTGACGAATCACACGTACATAAGAAAAGGGAAATATAAAACCGGAAAAATTGTGTTGAATGTGAAACGAAACGAGTTAGCAACAGCCTAAGTGATAATGTAGAGAGGAAAAACACAGAGTTACAAAATGAATGCATCAGCTGAGGTGGGTTAGCAACACAACACTTACCATGTAAATCCAACAGAGTACGCAGGTGATTGCAGAAGCCAGAAATCCGGATTCTTGCGTCACTGCAGGGATTGCAAGGATCCCAGCACCGATCTACAATACAAATATCATATGGAATTCAATACCAACTGTCAACTGTCAACAATTCCTTCATCTAAAGTCAGCATTTTAGGATTGACAATCGGCATTCTAATAGCACTAACTAAGTATAGTAATACTAAAAGAAACGAAAGAAAAGAAAAACGAGGAAACAAGAGTTGCATACCGTAGTCCCTGCGACGAGGAAAATGGCGCTGGGTAGACTTCCTGTATGTATAAATCAATTAAAAATAATAATAATAATATTAATAATAATAAGCAAATGAATAGAAAAATAATGATAAAAAGTGAGTGACCAGACCAGCTTCTCTCTTCAAGGTGGCTTGGTTGAGATTGGAAAACAGCCTCTCAAACTCGAATTCCGTCTCGGTCTCAGACTCAGAGGGTTGAAATTGAGATTGTTTCTGCGACTGCGGGAGGCATTTGGTAAGTAGTTTTCTTGGACTTGGAGGAGGAGTTCTTGGAGTATTTGAGAAATGGCTCTTGCTCTTGCTCCTCCTCGTCCCCCTCTTTCCATTTCTGCAATTAAGTGGGAATGGATGAGCAGAAGAATGCAGCAATCTTCTTGACGACCACGAACACGGAATTACAACGCAACAAGAAGAATAGAATGCTGCCGCCATTTTCTTTTTCTTTTTCTTTGTCTATTTTTTTTTTTCTGTTTTTGGGTTTTAGATAGATAGACATAGTCATAGTCTCATAGAGAGGGAGGAGGGTCCAGGCAGCAACACAGCCAAGCAAAAATAAAGCAACGCTCGACTGAGTCTCCCTCACTTCCCTCCGTCTCCATCCATTCATTCATCATCAGACGTGATTTTCTTTTTCTTTTTCTTTTTCGTTTATTTGACATCTGAGGTTATTAGTAAATCACTTTAGTTACTTTATCAAAAATTAAAAATTAAAAATCACCCCCTTTCTTTCGTTTTTTTTGGTTGGAAAAAATGACCTTACTTGGTAAACCGCCGTTTTGCTTTGCCTCCTTATTTTGTTTTTTGTTTTTTTATAAATTAACAATATGAATTTTTTTTAAGGAAAATTAGGAATTAGACATAACTAACTTTAGTAATTTGGATTTGAAACATTAGGTATTTTGGTTTGGGTTTTAATACCCATAAAAGAATATGTATTTTGGATTAGGCTAAAGAGGAGGCTTAGATTCGTTGGCCCACCTTATATTAATCACTGAAAAGACAATTATACCCTTTTTATTAAAATATTTATTGGTCTCCCTTTTTGATCAGATTAGATCTCTCTCTCTCTCTCTCTCTCTCTCTCCGCAGCAACGACGACCACAGCCTTCACTTGCGGCTGGGATGGAATTCTCAAGCTGCTCATCCCTTCAGCCTTCACCGATAACTCCAAGGTCTTCTAAATAAAAATGTTGACCGTAGAAAAACTTTGGCCCCAAGTAAAATAGAACAGCTTCAATTACAAAAACTCCTTTTCCTTGTAGGATTGAGAAAGATTTACCCCTTTTCCTTATAGGATTGAGAAACATTTAGGCTATAAATAATAGCTGGGCACCTTTTATTTTCTACCTTGAGTGAGTGAGTGAGCAAGCCAGTAGGAAATCAACTAGGTTTTGCTTTTGGGCAAAGGTCAATTTCCATATTTGACGAAAGCTCTTGAGTTTCCAGTAACAAAGAGAGAGTTTTGTTGGGTCTGTGTTGTTTTCTTGAGATAGTTTGAATAGAGAGTTTTAAAGGCTTATTTTCATAAATGATCTTGAGGTTCGAGAACTTTAATTTGGAGAAAAGACCCCAATAAGAAGATAAATTATAAAGGACAAAGGCGAGGACACCACTATATAATTTTTAAAGATGTGGATCCTTCCCCGGAGGAGATATTTCTACTTGCAAATCACAACACATACGCAAATTCATAAACCAAAAAAAAAATTTATACGCACGTCAAATTATGATTGGCATGTTAGTAGTTCCTACTCACCAAGGAGACAAGTATTTTCCTTCTCAATACCAATGTGTAACGCTTGAAAATGCTCAAAGTCTAATATATTTAGTCATGACTTGTAAGTTGTAACCCCCAATGTGAAATTCTATACTCTCAACCTATAATAGTTGGAATGAACTGCATTAAATAATATGAACATTATTGCAACTTTCCCTGTGAGTGAGGGAGTAAATCACTCAATTGACTGGGAAAAATGGGAGGATGAGCCACAAGCACTTCTCGAAGCCGGTTCTGTATACCAGTTATTTTCTTCACGAGTGAGAAAGTTGGCCTCTGCAATAAAAATTCCAAGGAAAAATACCATGATTTAGACAAGCCTTGATTTATCTCAAAAAATCTTTATATAATTTTCCAATTCTTTCAATCAAGCCTAAAATTATTCCAACAAAATAGGTGATCTGAAACTTTAGGCAACGTTCCATCAAGTGACGATTGACTTTCCCATTTCATGGTTGTCCATGATTAGCTGGGAGGAGGTTTTATAGCTATTGGATAAATAAATTATTCAAATGACAGCACGGGAACTAGCAATTATAGCATTCGTCAACAATTACTTCTTTGTTATCTTTCATTTTCTGCCTCAGCAATTCGTAATAAAAATGCTTCTGATGAATTTCTTTTACATCATGATAGCTAGTTAATACTCTTGACACAACCATGTTGTAAAAACATCAGATACAGTGCAAAAGACTGACCTGATAAAAACACATCTTTATATTCATCGTCATCATAAACGAATTGGGGAGGATCTGGAGAACCAATCCCAACAATAGTGCTTCCACTGCATCAACAATATTGAGAAAAATGGAAATGATGCAAATGTCAAACGAGTTTGTATCGGTAGCAATATTACATGGCAATATATGTTCTCCATGCAAAAGTTGACAATGTGACGTTTTTGCACAATGGTTTTCATTGTGGGCCATTTCACCATAAAACCCTGTTACTGATGAGGGGGCCTAGGGATACTTTTTCATCACCCATCAGCCTGTCAGCTTCGGCGATTTAATGAAATAACGATAAAAGCAAGAGTTTAACTGAATATTCCAATAAGTGCTACAATGGATGTACCTTCCAGACATAAAAACAGCACCATATTGTCCACGGCTTGCTACAAGTACACGCTGTTTTAATCTTTTAAGAGATGGAAGAACTTCAAACGCTGGAGGTTCTGCAAATAAACATATATAAAAAGTTTGTAAATGGAGTGCTTTTTAGATAAAAGGATGGAACTGTAGCAGTCCAATACTTTATGACCCTGTTGAGACCCAAGACCTACTCTTGAAAACAAGCAAGGTTTCTCTAGTTCTGTAACAACGTCAATCCGGTACAAAGTTCTATGCAATATATTTTAACAACCATCACATATGGAAGATTGTTTAACACATAATGACTATAATTTGAATGTGTAAAACACTTCTAGATATAAAACAGTTGAAAGGCAATCAAACACGATGCCTTAGATGAACCTTTCTGGTCATAGAGAAACCTCTCTGGTCATGTATACATACCTAAATCATTGATGCAAACATCCTGTGATATTCCATTCCTTGAAATTTTCTCCAGCAAAGTAACAGGATCAGCCTTACTAGTTCTATCCAATTGAAGGCGCTGAAATTGTTTTTTCAAAAAAAAGATTCTTAAAAGAGATGGTTTCAATATATTGACGCAGATTATTATTAATCCATTCACTACATTTAAATATGCAGTACCTTGTAAACTTCAGCCGTTGAACATGCCTGTTGGGGCTTTATAAGAACCATTGGAAGGTCCAATGGTAGTGGTGGAGGGATATTTTGAACAACCTGGACATCCAAAACCAGAGCTGAAATTTAAACTCTCATGGAAGTATCAGACATTTTGAGGACAGGCATATATATGGTACAAAAATGCACCTACATGTGTCAAATTGTTCTGTACATGTTGGATTCCATACACTTTCTAGGGGTGGAAAACAATTATGAATATTTTTGCAGAGCCATCATCTGAAATGATGTAGACTGACCGACACAAAATAAGAAACAGATGAAGTTCTATCTTTGTAATAAATAGACATACCTCACCTCGACCAGTACAATAGGCTGCTCCTTGAGAGAAAAAGAAGGGAACATCTGAACCAATCTCACTCGACCATTCTTGGAGTTCCTTCTCAGTGGCAAGAAAATCATTAAACTGATTTGCTGCCCATAGTGCAGTCGCAGCATTGCTGCTTCCACCACCCAGCCCTGCTCCTGTGGGCACCTTCTTGTCAAGATGAATCTGCCAAAAACAATTTACATACAAAATATGTATATTTAGTTACAGCACCTAACATTGATTAAATTCGAAGAGATGTCATGTTAACATTCAAAATCTTCTCAATCACCTAAGCATCTATTCTTACCCAAAAGAAATTGTTGCTACCAGTCTTCTTCCTGTAAAGGTTAAGGGCCTTAATAATCTGCAGAAAGAAGGTTTCCAATCACAATGTCCCAAGGTTAAGAACAACAGGCAAAAAAGAAGGAAAAAAACAGTGCCATACCAAATTTCTATCATCAAGGGGGACCCCAGGCACATTGGTTGACAAACGATCTTGAGCTTTTGAGGGTGACAAAGAAAACTTAATTACATCTCCAAGGCTTATTACCTAGTCAAGATACCAGGAGACATTTGGGGAGTAAGAGATGTATGTATATATAGAATACAAATTATGTGAACTTAATAACAGAAGAAGCAGTGCATAAAATTTCGACTTCCAGATTTTCTTACAAAAGATCATGTAAGCAGCAAGTAGTTATAAATTTGGATGGACTCACGTGAAAGAGAGATGCCAAATCATGAAACCCATCTTCCCTTTTGTTAGTTATTCTCAAGAAAACATTTATCTGCACAAGAAAGGTTTGCCAAATTCAACACAAATTGGAAAACCCAGTTGCCAGAAAATGCGAGAAGAAGCCCCATAATGACTTACCTTGCAAGGTGAGAATAGAGTGAGCCTCGAAACCGGAGCGGCTTCCTTGTCCACCTCATCTGCCAGCTTGTTTATCCTTTCATCAGGATTGTACACTATCTAGTCACCAAGCAACCCAAAATTTAACAATCAAACAAGCATTTATATACAGCGAATTGAAAGCCCAATTAAAAAAACATAGAAACAACAAGAACTCAAGAGAGTCCAATTTGAATTTGAAGCATAACAAAGAATTGAGATTGCAGTACAACCTCTACTTGTTTTCTGGCAGAAACCATGAGTCTGACAAATGGGGTCCTTTGATTTCTAGACTTTGAGTCAAAAAAAGAGGACCCATGTGACCTGAACGAAGAGAGACTGCGATTTTCAATAATATTGGGAACAGGGTGGAAGATGGGGCTATGGCAGAGAAAATGAGAGGAAGCCATAGCTCCAGAGTGCACAGAAACGCTGTGCGAGACTTGAAGAGCTTGCCTGAAGCTTCGAGTGTTCAGTCTTTTGAATATATGTGGTATTTACTTATATCTTCAGGAACAAAAGGTACCAATTTCTACACACATTTTGCTACTCCTCCTTGTCCTGTTCAGAAATGGGTTTGGTGGGATTACGAAAAGAAAAACACTCGATTAGAACGACCGCAAAAAAAAATGGAGCCAAGTGTATTTGTGGGACAAATGCGGAAAGCGTCAAAAATCCCAATTGGCAATGCCTGCTCATGCCCAATTTTTCAATCGCCTTAGGCGAATAATTAACTTTTTTCAAAACTAGGAAAGGCAATGGTCATCTTTTCCTTTTCAACTTGGTCAATTATGGTTCTAGTTTCATCAGTTTCAACCATTTATAGTATAGCTACCTACCTCTTTTGCCTTTCCATTCTTATCTTTTCCATTCATTTTGTGTCACGTGTAT